TGTCCTTAATCCTATGGCTGATCATGACATATACCAAATGTCTTTGTCCCAGGGAATATGTAATACTGAATAATACATATCTGAGACAGAAAATCATACTTATCTACCTCTATTTTCTTAGGAGAGTGGAGATCTAGAAAACAAACTTCAACTTTATGCAGTTTTCTATAGGAGTTTTGTTTAAACACTCAGTTATAAGCCAAACAAACACAGAAACAAACAAAAAAGTGAATACACTTACTGCAGAATTTTTCAACTTCCCAGGAAAACTGTTTAGGGAGACCATTTTCAAATTTCCAATTCTAACTATCTTAGCCCTTCATAGTAGGTTTATGTCCTGATTTACTAGAAAGAAATAAAATGTTAACTGTAGCAGTAACAGATGATTCAAATGTTGCCTTTTTTGTCCAATGAGATTCTGTGCTCATTCCAAGATGCTGAATATGAATAAAATATTTCTCAAAGCCTGAAAACATATAATACCTATTTATATTTTCAAATATACAATAATGTGAAATTATAGAAAGTTTATAAAAGAGAAAAGGCACCCACAATGATTTCATGAATTATTGCTAACCATATTCTCAGTTAAAATTATGTATAAACAGGTATTACATATCATGTGAGATTTAAATTAAAAAATGTCACAAGGTGTTTAATGTATCAGAACTGAAAATGCTTTCAGCAGAGTAAACTGGTTGCCATTTCTTTGTGTAAGTGGTTACAAAACATAATTTTGGTGTGCAGTCAGTCCTTTGGGATTCTTCTCTGGCCACATATGTGGCTATACAAATTTAAAAGATTGGCATCTAATGTACAACTGGAAAAGTGTAAAAGAACATATTGGGTGGTGAACCTGGTGGGGGCTTGACAAAGGATGCTTTCATAGTAATTGCTGGAATGTAGGCATTGTTGTCTAAGATAAAGTTGAGAGAATTTGTACAGAAGACAAGGGACTGAAATGGCACCACATCCCTTTGAAATATGGTTATTAGAACCCCCCTGATGGGCTGACACAGCCCCAAACTCTGTGTGCTGTCAGGAAGGGGCATTACAGCAGGACTGACCAGGGAGGAAGAGATCCAGGTGATATCTGGGCTCAAGAGAAAGGTGTAGGGTTTTTGGAGGCCTCCCCACTGTGCTATGTGGGGAATGAATTTTTTAAATTTATTTTTTATTTTTTCCTTTTGTTTATTGTTGTGCAATTACAGTTGTCCCTATCCCCCCCATAACTCTCCCCTGTCCTACCCACTCCCATATTCCATCCTCCCCTATTCCATTGTCTTTGTCCATGGGTCCTTTACACATGTTCCTTGACTTGATCCTTCCCCTTCTTTCCCCTGTTATCCCTCTCCCCTTCCCCTTTGGTCACTGTCAGTTTGTTCTTTATTTCAAAGTCTGTGGTTCTATTTTGCTTGCTTGTTTTGTTGATTAGTTCCAATTTACAGGTGAGATCATATGGTATTTATCTTTCACCGCCTGGCTTATTTCACTTAGCATAATACTGTCCAGTTCCATCCATGCTGTTGCAAAGGGTAGGAGCTCCTTCTATCTTTCTGCTGCATAATATTCCATTGTGTAAATGTACCACAGTTTTTTTTTCATCCACTCATTTACTGATGGGCCCTTAGGCTGTTTCCATCACTTGGCTATTGTAAATAACTTTGAAGTCCTAGAGAAGAACACAGGCAGGAAAATTTCAGATATTCCATGCAGCAATATTTTCACCAATATGTCCCCTAGAGCAACGGATGTAAAGGAAAGAATAAACAAATGGGACTACATCAAATTAAGAAGCTTCTGTACAACTAAAGAAAACATAATTAAAATGAAAAGAGAATCCCCTTATTTATTTTTAAGACTTTTCTCTTTATGGCTGGTTTTATGCAGTTTTACTATGATGTACTTAGATGTGGATTCCCTTGTATTTACTTAGTTTAGTATTGTAATCCTTCTTGATACTATGATTGTTTTGTCAAGTTGGGAGAATTCCCAGATACGTTATTTTCAAATATTACCTATTGGCTTTTATCCTTATTCTCCTTCTGAAATACAAATACATGGTATTAAAGCTTTCCATTAGCACCATATGCCTCTTGCTCTGTCTACCATCTGCATTTCATTTTCTACCATTTTGTCAATATTTCATTCTGATTTTTCTAACTGCTTTTTCTTCTAGCTCACTGATTTTTTCTCATCATTTATGCTTAATTGCTGTTATAGTCATATATTTAGACCTTAATTTCACTCACTGTTTTTTCTCATTTCCATTTGATTTTCACAATTTTCACTTCTCTGCTAAAATCTTGTCCTTGAAGATTTTATAATTATGTTATGGTATCTATCATGAGCCTGTGTTTTTCTTGGATTTTAATTCTTGTTTTACTTTTACTGAATACCAGACATTATGTATGAAACACTGTAGTGATCATTTGATGCCTGGGATAATGTTATCTTCTTCTTGAAACGATTTATTTTGCTTTGGTAGAATGTTATATTTGGGGGAGCTCACTTTAATACAGTCTGTAACTGAGCTGATTTGAGTCTGAGCATCAGTCTTATGAGAGTAATGGCACATTTTTGCTTACCTTTGCTAATAGGATACAGCCCTTCTAGGGATCACAACGTAAAGTCCTGGGTATTTAGGAGTGTCTCACTGTTTGGTAAGCCTGAGCTCCAATTGCTTGTCTTAACAACCATGTAAGAATTTTAGAAGCTCTTCTCAGCTTTTTAACCTCTCAGCTGTTGTTTGTGACTCAGGAAATTCATCTGAGGGAAAAGCTATGCCAAAAGGCCAAATCATCTCTTCATTTTAACTCTTGTTCTTGGCTTCTTAAATCCAATCTCCCTTAAATCCTAGATCTCCAATACCTTCAAAAGGATAGTGTTTTAAAAATTTGGCTTGCTTTTGTTGTGTTCTTTGTAGGAGACTTGGGCTGCAAGAACCTGGTTCTTACTTGCTGGAAATAGAAACCCTTTCATATTTCTAATTATAGTCACAATCAATCTCTCTATACAAAGCTAAACTTTCTCCAACCCCCAAACATGTATTTTCAACTGCCTAACAGACATCTTTATATTAATGTCTCATAGTTATCACAAATTCAATTTATACAAAACAGAACTAATTATTTCATTGAATCCTGTTACATCTACATTTTGTATAAATGCAGGTGTCATCCAAACTAGAAACTGAGAAGTTACTTTAAATTATTTCCCTCATGCTCTATGTTTAAGAAGTCAACAAAACTAAAACTTTCTCTTTTTCACTTCTTACTCTGAATCATTGCAATAGCTACCCATTACTCTCTTCCACACTCTAATTGTTATTAAATGTATCCCTACTAATGCATTTCCCTCTATTTAAAATTTTTCTCAAATGTAAATCCAAACCTATTATTTCCCTACTTAAAAGCTCTTCAGTGACTTAACCACTGTCTGCACTGTCGTTCAATACTTTAGTTATCAATATTTGGTTATTTGACTTATCATCTAGCCTCTACCTGCCTCTCCATCTTTCATTCTTGACTTATTCCTGTCATTATTTTAATGATACATATTTATTTTAGCTAATGAATTGTACTGTGATCTTTCTCACATTTCTGTTTTCGCTTGAGTTAATCTTTCTATTTGAAATGTCCTCCCACCTTTCATTCCACTCAGTAAATGATTAATCCCCAGCTGAGAGGCTGTATCCTTCATAAAGCTGTATTCCCTTCTCTTTCCCACAGAAGGATCATTTTCTCTTCTGTGCTACTTCAAGTTTTTCATATTTCTGTTAATACATGTATTGTACTGCATAGTCTTGATTTACTTGTTAGTTTCTTTTCCTAAAATAAAAACTTTTTGTAGTGAAGTACCTTATTAAGTTTTCTTACTCCATAGTTTAGTATATTCATTGGTGCACAGCAAACACTCACTCAATGTATAGAAATGATATACATGAGATAAGAACTGAAATTCTGAGAAGCATGAAATCTTAATTTATAATATTAAAGTAACAATTGATGAAGCTCCTTGAGAGACAAAGCAGGAAACAAACAAATGAAAAACAGCAGCACTTTAAAAGGGAACTTCATGTACTCACTGGCTTGATTAACATTGCCGAGCAAGACTTTCTGTAGTCCTGTTCCATATTAAAAGAGAGGGTGAACTGAATTCAGAACTTATCCTTGGGAAATTCTCATTGTGGAAAATCAGCCTGTTTTCTTAGGAAAAAAAAATTGAACAGATGATCCAAACGATAAAAAGTAAGAAGTAGGGGGAATGAAAGGGAAGAAAGAGCAGAGATTTACAGGTGTAGCTCAGGAGCTTCTGCTTAAGTGTTTGTGATATTAAAAAATAAAACAAAGAGACAAACAAAAAACACCCAGAGGACTCGCAGATGTGGACATGCCATTCATTACTCACATTACAGGAGACAGCACCAAAGGTGGTGTGTTGATGTGAGACAGACTGCACCTCCTCCAGTCCAAGGCTCATTAAAAGGGGTCCCAGACAAAGGCAGCACAGGTCCCGGTTGCAGAAACTTATGTGTGGCCCGGAGCTACATTACTTCAGTGGGTATTTGCAGAAGGAAAAGATCAAGAAGCAGTCATAGGACAAGGAGCCACTCCCAAAAGGAGATAAAAATGGAGTTACAATCCATTCTCAGAACAGTATGCATTCTCCTGGCCAGCCCTAGTTGCAGATGGTGGGAGAGCCGTGTATTGACCCCACAGCAGGGCAGAAAGAAACTTTAATGAGAAGTCAAATAAGAATAATGAAGGGACTATGAATTGGATGCCTTTTGATTCATACTTTATTCAGGTAGAAGCTAGGTTAGGTAGAAGAACTAAGAGTGAAATGTACTCTTTACTCACAGGGGCATAAGTTATTTAAAGTTTTCCTAAGAATTATACAGTAATATGCTCCCAAGTCTTCATAGTCTGCACTCTAGAGAAAATCATGGATCTTGTTTGTGGTGTATTAGGAAAACTCCATTAGAGAGAGTCGAAAGCTCTTCAGAGTACCTAGAAAAAAATGCTTCATTGTAAGAATATCAGATTTAAATAGGAAAAAGCTTTCCACTTAGGGCCTACAAAAATATGTGCAAAGAAATTTCTTGAATACTGAGAAGAAAAAAATCCAACTTGTTTTATATTTTCTTTTGCACAACATCTGTAGATTTTGAAGCAATGTTGTTATACAGAGATATCATTAGGGTTCACATCAGGTCTGGGCACCAGGAAAAATCTCACATTTCCAAGGTTTTTAAAAACTGCTCTCAGCTTCCACTGTAGTAGCTGAAATAGCATCTTCATTACCACTACTCTGAAAAAAAAAGTAAACTCTTTTAAATCATGTTTCTTAAAATCATACATGTAATAAATACTTTAAAAAATACAAGCAATCCTGATGTTTATAGAATAAAATGTTAAAGTGTCATTTGTCCTCATTCTGTCCAATCTCTACCACAACCACTCTCTTAATTCCTGTTGGGCTACTTGTAACTTTTGCTTTACTTCTAGAATTTCATAATGAAAAATATTCATGGTCTTCCTTAACAAGAACAGTTACCAGCATCACAAAAGCCACCTTGTCATGGTATTTCCCAGTTACTACTTATTCCTTCCCTTCAAAAGTAACCATCATTTTGACTTTTAGGTAATTAAGCTTTTTCTTTTCTTTCTAGTTTTACCAGCTAGCTTGTATTCTTCCCTAAAAATTATAGTTTAGTTTTGCCTGGTTTCAAACTTCATGTGAAGAGAATCATAAAGTATGCTTTTGTATTTGACTTCTTACACTCAACATTATATCTATGAGATTCATCCATGTTGTTAAATATAGGTGCAGTTCATTGTAATTACTGTGTAGAATTTTATTAGAGTAATAGATCTTAATATGTTCACCATACATCTATTTGCACTGTTTATACTTTGGAGTTACTATAAAGTACATATATAAAGTATATATATAAATTTCTGAGAAGAATATTTGGTAGTATGTACATATGTGCACACATTTTGCTATTCCACTACCTTCAGGGCTCCATTGTTTCTGATGAAAAATCAGCTGTTAATCTTATTGTGGTTACATTGTACATGAAGAATCATTTTTCTCTTGCTTTAAAGATTTTCTCTCAATTTTTAAAATCAGTTTGGCTCTGAAGTGTCTAGGAATGAATCTGTTGTGTTTATTCTAATTGGAGAATATTGAGCTTCCTAATGTACAGAATAATATTTTTCATTAAATTTGGGGAAATTTTGGCCATTTTACTTCAAGTTTTTTTCTGTTTTCTCATTTTTGGGGATCTCACTATTCATATGTAGATGTAATTAGATGGTGGCCCAATGAGCTCTAAGGCTGTGTTAATTTTTCTTGTCCTTTTCTCCCCCTGTTCTTCAGACTGGAGAATTTATATTGCTCTGTCATGTTTGCTGATTTTGTCTTCTGTTGGCTCAAATCTGTTCTTGAGCTCCTGTAATAATTTTTTTACTTCAGCAACTCTATTTTAAACTCCAGGATTTTCATTTGTTTTTTTTTAAATAATTTATATCTCTTTTACTTATATTTTATTTTTAAAATTAAACAGATTAATTGAGATGTAATTGATACACAAAGAACTGCACATATTTAATGTGTACAATTTGATAAATTCAGACATATGCAAACTGTGATACCATCACCACAATCAAGATAATAGACATTGATAATTTTATTTGATGAGTTATTATCATCCATTCTTTAAACACATTTTTCTTTAGTCTTTGAAGTCTTTCTTTGTGAAATTCAACATTTGTCTCCTTCCCCCACAAAAGGTGGCTTTTTCCCAAGTGTATGGTTCATTATTTCTCATTCTTTGCATGCTATATTTTTTTGTTGTTTAAGAATGGATATGTTAGAGGATATACTGTAACAACTTTGGGTTCTGATTGCTTCATCTTCCCCCAGGAGGATTGTTACTGCTGCCTTTTGTGACTCCCCTACACTAATATTGTGGAGTACAGATCTCTTGCAGTGGGATCCACCCTTTGTCAATGAATAAGTATAGCTTAAGAAATCTATTCAAAGTTTAAACTATTTGTAAATCTGTCCCAGCTTTTATTCTGTGTTTTCAAGGCCTCTTATTCATCCAGGTAAAATTAGTTTACTAAGATCCTGTCCAGCCTCTTCAGTGCATGCACAGATATTCCTTGACACATCTGTAATCTTCCAGACCACAGGGATAAGTAGGATATCACCAAGGCCCACGTTGGCTCTCTTGTTCTCAGAATCTCCTTTTAAATTTCTAACCAGTTACCAGTCAACTTCTTGTCCTAACATGTATTGTGATTTCAACTAAGCTAGATGTTATATTGGCTTTTCCAAATTGTTTGCCACTGCGATCTTTATGGTTATAATGACACTTCTGGTCATGGAAATTTCTGTGCTTTCCTACAAATAAAATCAGCCCTCTCCAGTAGTGAGACTGCTGGTCTTCACAATCTGACTCACTCAGGTAGACTTCTGCAAAATGGAACCTGGTCGGGGGTGGAGAGCAGTTGAGAAAAATCAGGGTAGCACCAAGCTAAAATGTCACAGACACTGTTCTTACTGAGGTTCAGCAAATTTTCTTAAATACTTGTTGTTTGTTGTATTCTTTGATAAGTGTCTGGAATAGTTAAAAACTGTTTATTGACAATTCTCTCCAGTTTTATCATTTCTTTTTCAGGACATTTGCCAGATCTTTACTCAGCAATTCTTGAAGTCCCACACATTTTCTATTCTTGGAAAACTGTTTTTCCATGTTGCCTTGTAGTTACTTCTGCACTTCAATTAGTCTCTGCTTAGAATGCTTTCCCCTTACCATCCTGTGTAAAATAATCTTTGCTTTATCTCTTTACTCTGTTTTATTTTATTTCATAACACTTTTTGTTTCTTAAAATTATTGTGCATGTGTTTATTGTCTTTCTCCCCACTGGAATTGCAAACTCCCTGAGAATATGAGTGCTGTCTTGTTAATCATTGCATCCTTAGTGCCTATTACAATGCCTAATATATAGTAAGCTCTCCATAAATATTTATGGAAGAATGAAAAAATTTATATGTAGTCTTTGCATAAACTTTTGTGATACTGTGAATTATTACAGCAATTTGGGATATTACTAAACTTGTAATTACAGTTGACACTTAACAATACAGGTTTGAATTAAAGATTCTTTTCAATAAATATACTGGAAAACTTTTTAGAGATTTGTGACAATTTGAAAATACAGATGAACTATGTAGAGCAGAAACATTGAAAAAAACAAGAAAAGTTAGGTATGTCATGAATGCATAAAATATATGTAAACAGCAATCCATTTTATCACTTACTACACACTATACACAAGTTATTATAATACATTTCAATGTATCATAACTTATGCATAAAACAGTGACTATACACAGAATCATTCACAGTTAAGAGAAATGTAAACAAACAGATGCCATATTAAATCCTAACTGCATAAAATTAACTGTAGGTCTTACTGCACTATTGTAATAATTTTGTAGCCATCTCCTGGTGTCATTGTGGTGAGCTCAAGTGTTGCAAGTACTTGCTTAAATGTCATGTGATGCTAATCAACTCCACATTACTTTTTCTCTCCAGTATACTGAGTATTGCAGTAAAAAGTGATCTCACAGTTGTTACATATTTTTCATCGTGTTAGGTGTGATATTGTAAACTATGAATAACACCATGGGACCCAATGTTATTGATGCTGGAAGTGGTCCCAAGAAGCAGAGAAAGGTCATGACATTCCAAGAAACAGTTGAATTGCTTGATATCTACCACATATCCATAGATTGAGGTCTACAGCTGTGGCTGACCACCATTTCAAGATAAAGAAATCCAAATGTAAAAACAGAAGGAAATTTGTGAAAGTGCCACTACAGCTATGACAGCAGGCACAAAAACCTTGCATTTTTGTGCAATATCTTTTTCTCTTGCATTGAAAATGCAGCCTTTGTGTGGGTGCAGGATTGCCTTAAGAACTACTTACCCATAGACTCTACTGTGATTCAAGAAAAAGCAAAGTCATCACATGACAACTTAAAACAAAAGAAGGTGAAGGAGCTAGACCTGGAGAATTTAATGCCAGCAAAGGAGAGTTTGACAATTTTAGAAAGAGGTTTGGCTTAAAAAAAAACAACATGGAGATAACAGGAGAAGCAGCTTTTGCTGACCAAGGGGAAGATGAATTCCAAGAACCCATTAAGAAAATCATGAAGAGAAAGCATATCTGACTGAACAGGTTTTTAATGAAGATGAAAGTGTCTTATTCTGTTAAAAAAAAAAAAAGAAAGGCCACAGATGATATTATTAGTAAAGAAGAGAAAAGAGAACCAGAATCTAAGGCAGAAAAAGATAGACTAACTACTGTTTTGTGCAAATACAGTAGAGTTTAAAATCAGGACCACTCTTATCTATAAAGCCACTCCTCCCTTAAGCCTTGGGAAAGACAAACACCAGCTGCCAGTCTTTCAAGAAAGGAGGCCTGGACAACAAAACCCATTTTTCTGGATTGGCTCCATTGCTGATTTTCCCTCCAGTCAGGAAGTACCTAACCAGCAAGCAACTGCCTTTTAAAGTACTTTTGACATTGGACAATGCACCTGGCCACCAGGAACCCCATGAGTTCAACATTGAAAGTGTTGAAGTGGACTACTTGCCCCCAAACGTAACATCTCTGATTCAGCCTCTGCATCAGAGGATCAAAAGGACCTTTAAGGACCATCATTGTACAAGGTAACATGGTACTTTATAGAAAAAATTTTCAATGCTATGGAATAGAACCCTGACAGAGAGAGCATCATGAAAGTCTAGAGAATGATTACAACATTGTCATTACAGAATTATATTGCTGTAGAGTATGCCTCTTTCTCTCTCATAATTGGAGAAACTGCATATCGGCCTGTCATCCCATGTAAATGACTTCTTTAAAATTGTAACAATGTTTCTGATATTGTATTATGAATATGACTATAATACTGTATGTAACAAAGATTTTGTAATGATTTAATCATTAGAGTATAGGTTGCTACTGTGAGGCAATCAGATCCATTACACTAGCAATCAGATTGCTGTTTTTCATTATCAATGCATAAATCCTTAAACCTATGAAGTATGAATTTTTCACATATTTTCATTTTTGATATCTAGTGTCAGTAATATGCATAACCTGTAAGATAATATTGATCTCACAGACAGTTCATCTTGGAAACAGATGGCATAAACTTACAGTATTGATAAACACAGTACTATAAATGTTTTTTTCTTCCTTATAGTTTTCTTAATAATTTTTCTAGCTTACTTTATTGTAATAATACAGTATATAATATATACAACATACAAAATCCATGTTAATTGACTATTTATGTATCAGTAAGGTTTCTGGTCAACAGCAGGCTCTTAGTAGTTAAATTTTGGAGGAGTCAAAAGTTATACACAGGTTTTCAACTGCATGGTGTCTCAGCTCACTTAATCCCTGTGTTGTGCAAGGGTCAACTGTACATTTAAACAAATCAACTACCTACAGAAATACTAGTCTTACATGCAAAGACATATGTATTGAGATGTTTACTGCATCATTCTTTATAATTTAAAAATTTGGGAAAAAAGCTAAATATGCAGCAATAAAGGAATGTTAAAATCTAAGGAAAAGTATGATGCTATTAAAAGGCATTGTTTAGATATGCTTTATAATGAAAAGATTTTTATGGCAGTTGAGGAAGATACATATGACCAGACAATATTAGTATGATCACACAATTAGTAACAAAGAAAACTCTGAGTGTGTCTGTCTGTCTGTGTCTTTTCATATAGATTTGCCTATGTGGGTATGACAAAGACTACATTAAGAAAACAATAACTTTTTTAGTCTAAGTTTGTACTCTTTTATTTGTTTGAAGTAGTCTTTTTGTAACTTTTTTTAAAGATTTTATTTATTTATTTTTTAGAGATGGGAAAGGAGGGAGAAAGAGAGAGAGAGAAACATCAATGTGTGGTTGCTTCTCATGTGGCCCCCACTGGGGACCTGGCCCGCAACCCAGGCATGTGCCCTGACTAGGAATTGAACCTGCGATATGTGGGTTTGCAGCCCATGCTCAATCCACTGAGCTATGCCAGCCAGGGCGTGTTTTTGTAACTTTATAAACAATAAGATTAAGAAAAATTAAAAAGGAAATATCACATTCCATTTTAGTAATTCTAAACATATTGTATCAGTGCACTTCATCTCCTCATAGAATGTGCTTACTAAAATCAATATTTCTTAATATGCTAGAGAGTAGATAAACACTTACCAAACTAATACATCCAAAGATGCAGTATGTGAATGCAATAGCTGTTTCTAAGGAATAGGAGGACAGCAAAATCCGAGAAACTTCCCTCCCAAGTTTCTGAAACCAGAAGACAGGGAGAAATTTGCATTATTATTTTAGTAAGAGCAACTATGTTCAGGGAAGGAGGTCCTAGTATGAGAAGAAAATAGGAAGAATAAATAAGCCTCTTTTACTATTTGCGTTCCCCAGGCATTTCTACTCCTTTGCCTTCTGCTCTACTTTTCCTACCTTTTATTCCCCTGATTCATTATCCCTGTTTACAACTCAAACTCTTCAGTCAAGAAGATTTGACTTTCCTTGACTTCCAACCAAGATGGAGGTGAAGGTAGATATGCTTTGCTTCTTTGCACAACCAGAAGAAGGACAACTAATTAAAAAAAAAAAAAAACCACAGCCAGAACTGCCAGAAAATCAAACTGTATGGAAGTCTGACAACCAAGGAGTTAAAGAAGAAACATTGATCCAGGCTGCTGGGAGGGGTAGAGACTAGAAACGGGGGAAGAGAGGATGCGCAGCAAGGCAGTGGACCAGGCAGGCAAGGTGGAGGCTGGCAGACCAGGCAGCTGGGAGAAATAACTGGGGACCAAGACAGACCATGCAACCAGGGTTCCAGGGTAGGCAACTAAAGCCTCAGAACCTCTGATTGTAAAAACATGGGGGTTGTGTCAATGGGAGAAACTCCCAGCCTCACAGGAGAGTTTGCTAGAGAGACCCACTAGGTCCAGAACATACACAAGCCCACCCACCCAGGAATTAGCACCAGAAGAGCCCAATTTGCTTGTGGGTAGTGGGGGAAGTGACTGAAAGCTGGCTGAGAGCCTAGCAAGTGGCAATGTTTCCTCTCAGACCTGCCCCCCACATACAGTACAAAAACTAAGCAAACTCGGTTGTCCTGCCCTGACAAATACCTAAGGCCCCACCCCTTAAAACATAACAGGTGCGCGGAGACAAAGGAATATGGCCTAAATGAAAGAACAGATCAAAACTCCAGAAAAAGAAATAAGCAATGAGGAGATAACCAACATATCAGGTGCACAGTTCAAACATTGGTAATCAGGATTCTCACAAAATTGATTGAGTACAAACACAAAATAGAGGAGGAAGTGAAGGCTAGGGAAAGTGAAATAAAAGAAAATATACAGGGAACCAACAGTGAAGGGAAAGAAACTGGGACTCAAGTCAACAATTTGGAACACAAAGAAGAAATAAACATTACACCAGAACAGAATGAAGAAATAAGAATTCAAAAAAAAATGAGGAGAAGCTTAGGAAGCTCTGGGACAACTTGAAATATTCCAACATCTGAATCATAGGGGTGCCAGAATGAGAAGAGGAAGAGCAAGAAATTGAAAATTTGTTTGAAAAAATAATGAAAGAGGAATTCCCCAATCTGGTAAAGGAAATGGACTCTAAGAAGTCCAGGAAGCCCAGAGAGTCCCAAAGAGTTTGGACCCAAGGAAGCACACACCAAGGCACATCATAATTACATTACCCTAGATTAAAGATAAGGAGAGAATCTTCAAAGCAGCAAAAGAAAAGGAGACAGTTACCTACAAAGGAGTGCCCATAAGACTAACACCTGATTTCTCAAAAGAAACCTTGCAGGCAGGAAGGGGCTGGAAAGAAATATTTGAAGTCATGAAAGGGAAGGAACCTATATCCAAGATTACTCAATCCAGAAAATGGGAGGGCAGATAAAATACTTCCAAGATAAAGTAAAGTTAAGGGAGTTTATCACCACCAAGCCCTTATTATATGACATGTTAAAGGGACTTATCTAAAAAATCAAAGCTGTAATCAGTAAAATAACAACAAACTCACAACTACCAATAACTGAACCTAAAATACAAAAACAAACTAAGCAAACAACTAGAATAGGAACAGAATCACAGAAATGAAGATCACATGGAGGGTTATCAGTGGAGAGTGGGAGGGGAGAGAATGGGAGGAAAGTACAGGGAATAAGAAGCATAACTGGTAGGTACAAAATAGACAGGGGGAGGGGTTAAGAATTGTATAGGACATGTAGAAGCCAAAGAACTTATATGTATGACCCATGGACATGAACTAAATGGGGGGAATTCTGGTGGGAGCAGGATGCAGGACGGAGGTGGATAAAGAGGAGAAAAATGGGGCAACTGTAATAGTATAATCAATAAAATAAACTTAAAAATAAAAAAAAGAGTTGACTTTCCTGTCTCCAATGATAAGATGGCTACCAAGAGATTTTATCAAGCAATCCTCAGGTATTAAAACAGCTATTATTAATTACAAACTTTCTCAAATTCACATATGTGGTAATAATAAAAATATCACATAGAAATTTGTGTAATATCATAGGGAAGGATGAGTGAATTGAGAGTTCAAAGAATGATGTTTTGCTGGGAAGTCTAGGGCGATGGTGATTGTTGGGTTAAAAAAGTAGACCCCTTTGGCTGCCATCTGAAAAATACTTTCAACTATTGATATATATCAGGATTTCAACTATTAACCCATTCAGGATTTGGTTCTGAATAAGGGACCAAACTGTGTGTGCTTTCTGAACTCATTCACTTATTACTTGGAATGCCATCCTTCCTCGTGAAGTGATTCTATTAATTCTGAAAATAAGTGTGGTTTTTGTACTGGCTATGGAAAGACAATAATGATATTCAGACCTAAAAAGAATATCATAATTCTCTTTCCTTTGGTTCCTTCTTTTGTCCTTTTTTGGTTGGGTTTATCTTACATGAAATAAAGTATGAGGTGGTAGGAATTAGATGATAAGAATGCAATGACAAAATATTCTTGTTTTCTCAAGATTTATATTCAAGTAGAAAAAACAGAAAGATAATATTATGGTAACATATGGTAAAGCTAAATATACCAAAAAGATGAAGACTTGCTCAATAATTATAGGGGACAGGAGATCCACCCTAAGTCATTCATATCTAGGAGGGCTTCATAAAGAGGTAGGACCTTTGAAATAAGAGTAGAACTGAGAAAACGAAAGTGGGGAAGCAACACTCTAGGCAGCTTTAATTTACTTCTTTCTTTGTAACCTTTCTTATTCCAGAAAGAATTTAATAGCATAAATTACAAGTGTGATGAAATAATTAAGAAATGGAGACATAAAAAAGGACCAACAATAAAGCTAAAATATATATCACATGATCTATAGTTTGATAATGTTAGCAAAAAACTGAACGCAAGAATGAGTATGACATGTTGAGAAAATGATAAAATGTTTAACTCAAGCTATAGTGTTCACTCATGCATGATAAGGCAAGATAAAGACTATAGAGGATTTGAAATGGCAAGGTGAAGAATTCTGATTTAATTTTCTTGGCAGAAACATGATCATAACATTTTTAAGCTGAGAAGTACTTGTAACTTCTTAGTGGGCGAGATTATAGAAAGTCATTTTGCCCATATTCCTTAATATGTGAGTGTTATTCTCAACCCGTCTCCTTGAAAGTAGCAAGATGTCTGCCAGAGAAGTTCAAGAACAACAGAGAGAGTGACTGAGTTCTGGACACATAATTTAAGCTTCTGAATGCAATTTAAATCAGTAGGTGCCCCTTTTTTACTTCAGTCACTTTGGGTTGTATTTCCTGTCATAAGAAAAAGAGCCCTAATTAATAAAAATTTAACTAAGAAAAAAACAATAGTTGGTAATTGGGAAGACAGTGAAGAGAGAAGGGTGAATGGTTACAGAAAAGTTTGAGCCTAGGAGATTGAAATAAGGAAGTTTTGCGGCACAGTATTTCTGAGGAGTAAATATTTTTCATTTTTTATCTATTGCACTTGAGATGATGATGCTAGAAGCATATCCAAGTAGAAAAGTCAAGCTTGCCATTAGAACAAGAAGACTGGAGTTTGGGAGATAGATAAAGCAATTAACTAGTAGATTGTGCTATTATTTTCTCCATTTACACATAAAGAAACTAAAGAACAAGGAAGTTAAGAAACTTGTCCAAGGGGGTCACACACAGTGAGTACTGAAGGTGGTGTTTGAATAAAGACAGTCTGGCTCTGGATTTATACTATTTACCATTTTCCTCTATGAGGAGTATATTTTTGAGGCACACACTTTTGGGGCTACTGGAACCTACCTGTGAACACTGATAATTTGATGCATTTGTGGATTTAGTCAAGCCACTTGTTTATGTTAGAAAGATTGGCATATAGGAAATCCTATACAATGCTTTTTAAAAATAAATGTAGGTAGATAATTCTATAATGCCTCCAAAATGAGATATGTAAGCCTAACATACAAGTTCATTTTGTGTAACAAATCACAGCAAATAAAGCCAAAATGTGTCTTTGGTGGATTGTGAAACTGATCATTAACACTGAGTTTGGGTCAGGTAAATACAGTCTGAAATGCTTCGTAATAATATTTGCAAAAGGTAGGCCTTTAGCAATTATGTCATGTTATCTTCTTTTAAAATATTTTATTTATTTATTTTTAGAGAGAGGGGAAGGGAAGGAGAGAGGGAGAGAAACATCAATGTGTGGTTGCCTCTCACATGCTCCCTACTGTGGTCCCAACCTGGCCCACAACCCAGGCATGTGCCCTGACTGGGAATTGAACAGGCAACCCTTTGGTTCGCAGGCCAGCACTCAATCCACTGAGCCACACAAAGCAGGGGTTATGCCATATTATCTTAAACTGATGATTACAAGCTTATGAATAAGAGTGGTAAGCTGTAATAACTTGACATTACTCTATACTTTATTCCCCTCCCTATCTTTGGCTCAAAAATTAGAATTGAAGATTTGTATATTGAATTTCCAGGGCAAGTGGAGAGTTTTCTTACAATTTATAGGGAAAATCTGACTCACGCTTATTTAAATCAATATGTCATTAATTACACGTGATCTATTTCAGGATTATTGTACCTTCTCTCATTTCCATGCTTGGGTTCCTTCCACTGGTGGTCCTACAGAGTAGGGGTACATGGAGGGAGCAGGAAGTTTATCTCTCACCTATGATGACTCTTCTACTCATTAGAATTATGTTTAAATTAAAACTTTCAAATAGTTCTTTGTTTTGCTCTGTTGTTCAGTAACAAAGAGGAGCTCCACTCCAACCTGTTATGATTTTACATGGAAGATTTTGTAAGTACTGCAACACTAATAATCTATGATTCTAAATCTAGAGCCAACACAATTGGGAAAAAACCTATTATGACATCAGTGAAGATATTCACATTTATGTGGTACCTAAGGGCTTAAAGCAAAACTCACATGAGATACAAAAATAGGCTGCGCATGAAAAGTTATACGTTAAACCTGAAGTTTCGAGGTGTCTGTAATTACAACTGTGCATTAATAGCAGAGTTCTTTTGTCAGTTATGAGAATGGTTTTAAGGTCTAGCATTATACTTTTCTCTCTTTAAGAGGATCATCAGTGATTCCACGCCTAATGCAGATACACTTACCACCTTCAAATTATTTACTTGCTCTATTTTAATTGGATATATCAAGAATTCAAATATTCTAGTAATATTTACAAAGAATTATGATAGAGTTATTTTTGAGTTAGAATTTTCAACCAAGAGCTTACTATTAAGTCAGAGAATTTTGTGAGGACCAATAAAATCCTTATTTTACCTCCTAAGCCTTCAAAACCTCTGAAAGGAATCATTTCGAAATTGAGATGTTCCTATAGAATTGGTCACTTACCGCTTGTCCATAGTTCCTATATGACACAGAATCAAACCTAGACAACTCTAATATAGTCAACGCTATTGCAACGATCGTAACAATTATGCACAAGATGTGCAAGGTCAAAGCACATGCAACCTGAAAAGAAGATAGAGGGTAAACTTATTACAATCAGAATAAGCACTTCAGTTAGGCAGTGTGCTAAAAGAATCACCCAGTTAAAACTGATCTAGTTTCTGAAGCTTTAGAAATGTTGGTATGCTTACCATTAGAATAAATTATTTTTCTGATTTACATAAAACAGTTTGGAGAAAACATGAAAATATCATCAAATCAATAAGCATAAATCTTTCATTTGGGCTAAAAAATTTTACAGTCTTCTGAGTGGGCTGGAAGAAAGTCTTATATATAAGATGTGATTCTAACAAAAGGAGTTCTACTGCAAACAGAAAAATAGAAGAAAAAGATGGAAAAGAACTACTTGTAGAAATAAGCCAAATAGGAATCAATGGTTTTTAATGGTAGGTTTTAAATCTCTAGGAAAAATCCTTTAATACCTCTGGATATCTGTACAATTATATGTAGCTTTTTATCTGTACAATTATGAGATAAGATGAATTAATTTCTAAGGTACTGTTTAACTCTAAAATTTTCTCTTCCCAATGGCTTTCCACCTATATCAAAGGCATATCTTTATTCTGTATTTATCCTTTATTTTATTACAAGATGCAATCCTGTTTGCAAACTGCATAGTTAGGAAAATGGAATTTTATAGCAGTATTAGGGTTTGCATATAAAAGCACTAGGTTCTATTACATTTTTCAAATAGTAAAGTTTATACACTCTTAAAAGAAGGTAGAATACCACCCCCCCCAAAAAAAAGGTATACATAAATTTAGAAACCTTTACATATAAATACTAACTAGTATAGTGTGTTTGTCTACATTAAAGTATGTGCCTTTGGATTTTCATTTAATTTCTTCATTTATTTTACAGGTAGGGTAGATTCCTGCATTGTTTAGATGCTCACTATCTTTTCATTAAAACTTATTTAGCTTTGTAGCCCTGGCTAGTGTGGCTCAGTGGATTGAGTACCAGCCTGCGAACCAAAGGGTCACTAGTTCGATTCCCAGTCAGGGAACATGCCTGGGTTGCAGGCCAGGTCCTCAGTAAGGGGTGCCAGAGAGGCAACCACACATTGATGTTTCTCTCCCTCTCTTTCTCCCTCCCTTCTCCTCTGTCTAAAAATAATAAATAAAATCTTTTTTAAAAAGAAAACTTATTTAGCTTTGTGACAAATGATTTCTAGGATACCCTAAACATTTCAACTTACCAGGTGTGGAGTTGGACGCCTTGCTATTTTAATTAAGAAGATTCCTGAAACGATAAACTGTATATAAAAACATATATTTATAAATATTCATTAATAATGCTCATACATTTAAAATGTATTTTTAACAACTCCCTCTTCTAAGTCAATTATTTTTAGAATACTAAGAGTAGCAAAATATAAAAAAAAATTTAGTTGAAGGTGTCAGGACATATAGTAATAAATTTAAAAGCAATAGTAGGGTCACTAATAACAGAAATACCTAGGGGACAGTGTGCAGAACTCAGGTTGTGGTATATGACAAAGATGACTTAGGTGGTCCTGAATAAGGGACCAAATCTATGCATGTTTCCTGAACTCATTCAATTATTACTTGGAGTGCCGTCCTTCCTCGTGAAATGCCACTGATTATAACTGCTGTGAAAAGATACTCCTTTGTAAGTAACTGTCTCCTTTCCTCTTGCTGCTTTTAAGATTCTCTCCTCTTTAATCTTGGGTAATATACTTATGATGTGCCTTGGTGTGTCCCTCCTTGGGTCCAACTTCTTTGGGATGGTCTGAGCATTTTTTTCACCCAGATGTGAAAAAAAATGGCCCATAAGTCTACTCAAAATTGTGTTTGTATAAAATATACCTCTTAACTGAGACTATGACACTATGAAAGTAACAGCTGCCATTCATATTTTTGTCTTTATTTTCAAAAAGAGTTCTATTACCTCATAACAGGCTACTTTGTCTGTTTCCTGGAAGTATAAACTGATGCCACATTTTTTGAAGGTGGGCTGAACAAATATTCTTTTTGTCTTATCTGTTTTGTTTTAATTTGTGGAAAAATACTATTTTTAACTGTTCATACTGTTGATACTGTTCAAACTATTCATATGATACACCATACAAAAAAAAAAGGCCAAATCTGAATCTTATAAGCTCCTCAAGAATAACTTAAATCTACACACTCAGCACTTCATTCTGTAACAAAAGTTGAGATTTCCAAGGACATACGCAGTGAAGGTAAGGGCTAATTCAGAATAGAAAGTAAAAATATCTTTTGAATTTTAAACTGGAGTGCTCTCTAATTTAAACTACCAAACCACGTACTTCACAAAATACCCAAAGTTTATGACCTAAGTAAGAAGTTTTGCATTGGATTAAATTTCATAAAATTTTCAGGTAATTTCTACTAGGAGTTAAATACCCTATTTTGGGGGGGGGTAATTTTTTATATTTTTAAAATATATTTTATTGATTATTCTATTACACTTGTCCCACTTCCCACCCCTTTATTCCCCTCTACCCTGCACACTTCCTCCCACCCACATTCCCCCACTTTAGTTTATGTCCATGGGCCATACATATAAGTTCTTTGGTTTCTACATTTCCTATACTGTTCTTAACCTCCACCTGTCTATTTTCTACATACCATCTATGCTACTTATGCTCTGTACTTTTCCCCCCCTCTCTCCTCCTCCCACTCCCCCACTGATAATCCTCCATGTGATCTCCATTTCTGTGATTCTGATCCTGTTCTAGTTGTTTTTGTTTTTGTTTTTGTTTTAGGTGTGGTTGTTAATAACTGTGAGTTTGTTGTCATTTTACTGTTCATAGTTTTTATCTTGTTTTTCTTAGATAAGTCCCTTCAACATTTCATATTATAAGGGCTTGGTGATGATGAACTCCTTTAACTTGACCTTATCTGGGAAGCACTTTATATGCCCTTCCATTTTGAATTATAGCTTTGCTGGATAGAGTAATTTTGGATGTAGGTCCTTGCCTTTCGTGTCTTGGAATACTTCTTTCCAGCCTCTTCTTGCCTGCAAGATTTCTTTTGGGAAATCAGCTGACAGTCTTATGGACACTCCTTTGTAAGTAACTGTCTCCTCTCCTCTTGCTGCTTTTAAGATTCTCTCCTCTTTAATCTTGGGTAATGTAATTATGATGTGCCTTGGTGTGTTCCTCCTTGGGTCCAACTTCTTTGGGACTCTCTGAGCTTCCTGGACTTCTTGGAAGTCTATTTTTTCTTCCAGATTGGGGAAGTTCTCCTTTATTATTTGTTCAAGTAAGTTTTCAATTTGTTGCTCTTCCTCTTCTCCCTCTTGTGCTCCTATGATTTGGATGTTGGAGCATTTAAAGATGTTCTGTAGTTTCCTATGCCTCTCCTCATTTTTTTGAATTGTTTTCTCATTCTTTTCTGGTTGAATGTTTCTTTCTTCTTTCTGGTCCACACTATTAATTCGAGTCCCAGTTTTTTTCCCATCACAGTTGGTTCCCTGTACATTTTCCTTTATTTCAGTTAGTGTAGCCTTCATTTTTTCATCTAATTTGTGACCATATTCAACAAATTCTGTGAGCATCCTGATAACCAGTGTTTTGAACTGTGTATCTGATAGGTTGGCTATCTCTTCATCACTTAGTTATATTTTTTCTGGTGCTTTGATCTGTTCTTTGATTTGGGCCATTTTTTTTTATCTCGGCATGCCTATTATATAGTAAATGGTGGAGCCTTAGGTGTTCATGAGGGTGGGGCAACTCACGTCACTGCGTTGTGACACTGTATGTGGAGGAGGGGTCTGAGAAGGAACAGTGCCACTTGCTCAGCTCTCTGCTGGTTTTCATTCACTTCTCCTGCTACCCATAATCAAATTGGGCCCTTCTGGTGTTGATTCCTGGATGAGTGGGCTTGTGTATGCTCTAGGACCCTGTTGATCTCTCCAATGAACTCTCCTGTGAGGCTGGGAGTTTTTCCTGCTTCCACCTCAATCCCTACAGGTGTTTTCAATCAGAGGTTTGAGACTTTACTTTCCCGCACTGAAACTGAGTCCTGTGATCTGTCTTGCTCCCTGGTTGTTCCTCCTGATTTATCTGTACCCAGTCTGCAGTCTGCCACCTCTCTGGGTCTGCCAGCCACCACCTTGCTCCCCAGCTGCAGCCTTGCCCTCCCCGGTCCTCCAGTCACCACTTTGCTGTGAGTCCTCTCTGCCCAGCTGCCCATCTCTGTCCCTCCGACCCGTCTGGATGAATGTTTCTTCTTTAACTCCTTGGTTGTCGGACTTCTATACCGTTTGATTTTCTGTCAGTTCTGGTTGATTTTTGTTTTTAAATTTGTTGTTGTCCTTCTTTTGGTTGTGCAAGGAGGCACAGTGTGTCTCCTTACACCTCCATCTTGGCCAGAAGTCCTAAATATGCTATTTTGATAATATAAATGATTAAATGCTAAGGGACATGAATCATTTATTGGGATTTTTCTGCAAATTCACTATTTTTCTCCCATTGTTTTCCAATGCAGTGCTTTGACACTTGTGAGCCAATGTGGAAAGGCAGAGTATCTCCTAGAGGCCACTGCTTTGGATAAAGCCCTGTCAGGTAGCAGCCATTTTATCTCCAACACCCCTTCCAGGGGTGTCCAACCCAAGGCCCGTGGGCCCCATGTGGCCCAGGATGGCTATGAATGTGGCCCAAAACAAAATCATAAATTTAGTTAAAACCTTGTTTTTGCTCATCGATTTTTGTTAAGTGTTTGTATATTTAATGTGTCGCCCAAGACAACTCTTCCTCTTCCAGTGTGGCCCAGAGATGCCAAAAGGTTGGGCACCTCTGTAGCAAGGTTTAGACCATTGGTTGTAAGCATGGGGTAAGTGGTCTCCCTGCTTCTTATTGCTATTTCCAACCATTCTCTCTCCTGTAACTTTGAATCAAATGTCCTCAGATTCTATCACCCACTGTCCCTCCTGGTGAAAGTCATATGTTGACTCTTTGGTCGCTCTCCTCTTTCTGGGTAATTTTAATCTCATCTTTAACTCTCTAACATCTCTTAATCTTTGTTATTTTTAATATATATATAATCCTTCTAATATCCTGGGCTTGTGGTTCTTTGATTTATGTCCTTCGATCCTTTAACTCCATCCTGTTTCAGCCACTCACTCTCATATTCATTCTCTTGTTCTTGTTTCTACCAGTAAGTGTAACATCTTTCAAATCTCAATTTCAAATGTCCCACTCTGACCATCAACTTCTATTATTCTAGTTCATGGCCCCATCTAGATCTATAATCTGAGCCCCTCACCTCCCTGTTACATTCTCTCCATCACTCTCTTAAATTCCATGGTCAAACTCTACAAACATTCACTTATTTATGTACACTCTCAAGTCTTTTGCATCTTTCTTGTTTAGTCACAGCTACATGCTTAGACCAAAACCCTGATTAAGTGCAATTCTTCTTACTGCATACCTGCACTCATGCAGCCAGTCACAGCTTGAGAAAGACAGGCAACCTTCTTGACCCATCTCACTATAAGCTTAATTGAGCTCTTAGTGCTGCATGGAAGTCAAACCAATTTTTCATAATACACGCACTCTCTCACTTTTCCTACGTGACTATTTCATGTCCCCTCCTCTCTCCTCAAACAACCAATCTACTCTGCCATTAGCACTTGCAGCTCATGGTCTTGCTTTCTCATTCACCAAGATATTTCAAGCCATTGGAAGAAAAGTTCCACAACCTCCCAACATCCCATCTACCTACTTATCAAAATGTTTCTCCTCTCTCTGTGTTCTTCTGTCTTGACACTATTTACATTAAAGATGGATAATTCTTTGTTGTGGGAGCTGTCCTATGCATTGTAGGATGTTTATCAGCACCCATGGTCTCTGCCCACTAGATGCACACCCCCAGCTGTGAAAACCAAAATTGTCTCCAGACACTACCAAATGTCCTCTGAGTGGCAAAATCACCTCTAGTTGAGAACCACTGCTAGAGATGAGCTATCTGTGCTCTTAGCTATTTGTGTATTAAAATTCATCATCTCTTGACTACACAAGTATGTAATTCTAATGATCCCTCTCTCCCACCATTTATCTCATGTCACCAATTTTCTCTTCTGATTCAGTCTCCTCAATAAAAGACATGATGCTTCCAACTTAGTGAAACAAGTAAGCAAACCCTCTCTTGACCCAAACTTTCCCCAGCTACCATCTCATTTCAATATACCACATTAACCAAAGTCCTTCAAGGAGTTGTCCGTGTTTAGTGTCAATAATTCCTTTCTCCTACTGTGTCTTAAACCAACTCCAGGCAGGCTTGTACCCCACTATTTCCCTGAAACTACTTATCAGGTTTACTACAGGCCTTTGTATTGCTAAATCCAATGATCAGCCCTTGTCTTATTTGATAAAAATAACAGAATTTAGCCCTGGCTCATATAGTTCAGTGGACTGAGTATGGGCCTGCGAACCAAAAGGTTGCAGTTCAATTCCCAGTCTAGGGAATATTCCTGGGTTGTGGGCCAGGTCCCCAGGAGGAAGTGTGCAAGACACAACCACACACTGATTCTTCTTTCCTTCTCTTTCTCCTTCCCTTCCCCACTCTCTAAAAAAAATAAATAAAATATTTTTTAAAAAACAATGGAGTTTAATAATTTGTCTTTCCTTATTTCTTTGTTTACTTGGTTTCCAGGATGCCAGGCTCTCCAGATTTTTCTACTATATTACAGTTACGTAAAAACCACAGAAGAGTTCAGGTAATGGCAAATTTAGACATTGTATGATTATAGACTCATTGTGGGAGGAAGCTTATATAATAACCCTAAATATGAAAATTGACCATGCTAATGGATATCATGGTTGAGATGCTTTGTTTCTCACATATCTAAGGACAATCCAATCTATGGTTGTCATTGTGTATTCACTCCTATATCCACATCTCTTGTAACATCACAGGCAAATTAATAGTGCTCAAAAAATATCTGTTGAAAAATGGAAATTGATTTTGAATGAATTACCAACCTGGAGTTTTGTTAAATAATTCTTATGAAAACTCTGTTTAGAAACTACTCCCTGTCTTCCATTAGAGGCATGCATATTATTTATTGAATGATTAAGTCATATAAATGCATTCTACTCACAATAATTCCCCATAAAGGACATCCTGCTTTGTAAGTTAGAGGTTCATAGGTCCCAAAGACTCCTTTAATCTGTCCCACATACATAATCAATAGGAAATACCACATGAAAATATGAAAGATGCCAATCAAAATCTGGATAGCCTGTGAGAAAAGAGTGCTATTAGTACTGAAATCATGTAATGTATAATACAATTCCAATAACTGTTAATTATGAGAAACATTCAACACATTTACAAAAGATAAAAGTAAAATAGTAATACACTTAACCACGTATTTCTTGGATTGGTTCATCCAAGAGGAAGGTCCTCACCAAGAAGTACTGACTGAGGCTTACCAAATAGAAATCACCATACCTGGAGCACCTAATAATTGTTCCTTAATAATTCTGGCCAATTCTTCCAAAAGAAAGTTGACACTCTAACTCCATCACTGGCTACTCTTCTTTTCTACCCAGCAATAGCATGAGAGGAGAGGACTGAGGGTGCTTGAGAGGAAATATGGTTACTAATCTATTTGGATGCAGGTAGCCACACATCCAATATTTTCTTGTTCTTTATGAACAAGACAATTAATGAATCAATGAATCACTTTTTGAATCTAATAAAGTTTTATATATTTTTTCCTTCAATAAATCCTGGGTATGGATATTTTTCACAAGCATGCTGGGATGAGGTACACAGAGATACAAAGAGTACCCAAAGTAGACTTGCTTGCACAAGGTCTTCCTATTGAATGGGGATAGGTTAGGGTTAGGGGAGAATTATCACTCAACTTGAATGTGTAAGAATATAATTACAATGTCAGTAAATATGTCCCAGTAAAAAATATTTCTGACTGTATATATAAACTGATATTTCATATTCTGAATCACATTTTAAATTACCCTTTAAAAATTTCAGAGATTATTTTTATTTTCATATAAACTTTAAAAAAAGCTATTTAATGTTTTAAGTTTAATAGTTCCAATTCTGTGTAAAGCAAGTCATTTATGAAACACATAAATGCAATTGGCTGATATTAAAAATATATTTTAGAGAAGTGGGGTTTTGTGGTATAGAAAGACCACTGTTGTAGGTAAAAATGTCATGCCTTTTTATAGATTTAGAATTTAAGATTTCCTCTACACCCAATTTGAAAGAACAGCATTATTTTTAGAGGTCCTTTGGATTTTATTGTGGGAAAACCCTCCACTAGATCACAAAATTCTCCAGGGCCTGGACCTCAGCTGTCTTGCTGTTATCATCAGCCTTTGCTGTGGTGCCCAGTGCAGAGCAGGCACCCAGGAAATGCCTCCTGTGGAAGCACCTCAGTATCAAGAACATAAATTCCACGGGACTTTCCAACTGTTCAAAAAAGTGACTGGGTTTAAAAAATAGTGTCTCTTTTTATATGATTGGTAATTGTTCTATATAAAACCACGCATTTGGCCAAGGCTTAAGAACGCTACAAGAAAGCATGGCTGCTAGTGTGTGGAAGACAAGATGGGTCTTCTCATTTAAAAATGGTTCTTCACCTAATGCCAATGAGTGGGTTCCAGGAAGACACAGTCCTCCCCTGGGGGAAAAATGAGTGCAAAGGGTTATGATATATATGTGTCTGAGAAGAAGATTCAGAGCTTTCTTCCTATGTCTAAGGGGTCCATGACTCCAAAGAGGTTAAGAACCCCTGCTGAACAGTCAGGTGAAAGACTTAGACTAGTGGTCTACATGGTAGCCAGCTTCAAAGGAAAAGTTCACACCCAGTGAAAAACTGTTTTCCCCTTCATATGTGAAAGGGCATGGTCTCCACAATTCCTTGGTGTTTTTGTAAGAGAGCTAGATAAACTCTCTGTGTATAGCTTAAGAGACATTGATAATCATCCTACTGCACAGACATCAATACAGTATTTAAAAGGGATCAGCAATAGATCTCTTTTACAGTTAAAAAAAATACTGGTTTTTAAATGCCTACTTTGGATTTTGTCTATTTCCCTGTGTATGTGCATTTGGTCAGTTTGCTTATATCTAATAGATACTACTTTATGAAGGGCCATGAGATGACTCAACATTTGTAGAAGACAATCAACATTTAAGAAGAAAAAAACAAGGTTTACCCTGTTGTCTTAACCAAACCTGACCCTTTCCAGATCCAAGAATGTTCCTTATTAAATTGAAGTAGTGCATGACCTCACATTTAGTCAAAGTGAAGTGGTACTTACCCCTAATACAAGTGCATCTGCTGTAGATAGTTTTGAACATTGAGCCATACTACCAGCATTTCCTCTAGATGATTACGTCTCTAATCTTTGGTGATATCTTTATTAGCAAACTTCTACAAAACAATACAAAACACATATACACGTTTTGTTCAAAAGAAAATAATTAAGTTTGGTTCTTTATTATTTTACAACCACCTCCCCAAACTCAGAGGTAATCACTCTCTTCTTCTCATGCCTTCATTTTTAGTAGCATCAACTTGCATTTACCTGTTCTGAATAAGAGTCTCAACTGAAAAGCCTGTGACTAAAAAATACTGGTATATTACAGATATTTTCTGAGTAGTGAACAGCATGTCTGGATTATAAAGTAGAAAGAAAACCTATGGAACAGTGTTAGAAAATTCCTGGTAAAGCTTTTAACAATTCATTTGCAATTCATAATCGATTCATTGTAATTCCTAATGCTATGTTTGCATTTTCAAAATCAAGTTCTTATACTTAAGTTTATCATGGGCTTGTAAATTTTTCCTGACACATACCTACTACTTAGTTCCTCTTTCTGGATGCAAGAACTTTTTCTTCCGTCACTCCACACTCTTGAAGGCTTCCACTGTTCCCCCCGCCCCGCCCCTTATATTCCTGTATTTCTCCCTGATGTTTAGATCATCTTCTTATTTACTTTAAGATAAAAATTTGGATAATAATTGTATCCCCTTAAGGGATTTTATCCTCTTGTGGGTCAGAAATTAAACTGCTCTACATCTTCTAACATGTCATATTTAGGTCAATAATATGAGTGATGCCACTTAGCCAGGTGATCACCTGATAGATGATCCTAAAACTTTTGTCTTTTCAGAAAGCAGGGAATATGGACTAGGGGACCTCTAATTCCCCGCACCCTTAAAATCTCATGACTTGATTATTTTGATGAGCCTTTGTTTCTAAAGCTGATTTTCTGAATGTCTCTTAATTCTGTAAAGTATAGGGACAGGAAAAAAAAACTAGGCAAAGATACCAGAGCTACTGACAGAGATGAGAAAAAACAGTACATTAATAATTGAAATATAAATAGTAAGCTTTCTATATTCAAACACTATCTCTGAAAAAATACCAAAGAAAGGGTATAGGCCTGCAGGCCACCAAGATTAATCACTCTGTCATGCTTAAATGAAAAGAGATAGAATTACAGAATTTATAGACAGTAATGAGGAAGAGCCATATCTCGATTGCTATTATTTCACCTTTCAGATAAAAGGATAATAATAAATATAAGAAGTCCTTTTGTGTGTATATAAAAATTCTTTTCACATTCATAGTTGACCGTGAAAGCAGCAAGAGTGACTTGGAGAGCAGAATATTTACTGTCATCTTGAAGAGCATTACTGTCATCTTTATCAGGCTCCCACCAAAACCACCCAAAACCACCCAAAACGAGGCATTCATTAAAATACTAAAGAAAAGAAGGCATGTGTGTGTGTTGAAAATCCTTAGCTTAACTGATGAAAGGAAGAAACTGAGAAATGCTGCAGTATATTCCTGGAATAAATGATGGTTAGAATTTTTTTAAAAAAAGATATTCTACATACAGTTACTACACAACCCAGTTAACTATCCCATTTTTGTAAAATAAATAAATAAATAAGATGAATAATTTATTCTTTGTTCTTTTCTGTTGATTCCATCACTAACACAGAAGTAGCTGCAGGACAAGCCCAGAGCCCTTACTGCCAATTCCCTAAACTTGCTTTACAAATTCTGGAATAATTCCAGAGAGCTCATGTCTACAAACCACTTCTCCATCTTTAGCATCTTTGGTAGTGATGCAACCGTCTCCTCACTGTGTGGAAATTCTTCAGTGGGGCATACAGAGCCCTTCATTAACTGCCCCCTGCCCACCTTCTCAGCCTCATCCCGGCCACTCCGTCAGTCTCAGCCCTAACAGCTCCTGCAGCAACACTCTCTGGGAGGCCTGCTCTCCTATTCCCCTAACATGCTGGACGTGCATGCCTCCGATCACCGTGCAATCTCACGGTTGATTCTCAGCACTGGCTCCCAAGTCAATGTGAGTTCCCAGAATTCAAGGAATTCATTTTGGATGCTCAGGGATAACAGTCCCGGGCTGTGACCCAGAGACTCAGACTGGGTGAGCCCAGCCTCTGTATGGGGGAATCCTGTCTCCATGCCCCCTTATGGCTTCTAATACTTCAGAAAATGCATAAACCAACTGACATCATTACCCTTCATTTCACTTGACGAAGGTCCTCAGGATCGATTGGGTGTCACACTCTCAGGTCCAGGCCCAGGCTTAGGGGTGTCTCTGCGCAGGCCTGGCTCAAGAGGGAGATCTCAGCTGGCAGCGCTCTCAGCGCCGGGTCCCCAGATCCTGCCTAGAGGTCATTACTTAGGTAACAAGGAGCCCAGGACCCAGCTGGCCCTCAGGCTCCTCCCTTAGGCCGCTCGGGCCTCCAACGGTGGTACTTGTGTGCCTGCGTGCACACTCCAGGTGGGTAGGAAAGGAGGGCTTGTGCGCAGACTCACTAGGGCCCGGTCACGTGGTCTGACCCACGCCAACTACCGCTGAGCGTGTCTCTAGACGGAGTTTCTTCAAACCTCCAAGCCTGATATTGGCCTTTCTGGTCCATTTGTTAGATACATATCTCCCGCAACGTGACCAGTATCACTGATGAAAAGTTGGCGCTTCACCTTTTCTGTCCTCAACTGTTGGCCGCAAGTGCACTTCAGAAGGTGTAAATAATGAAAAGGCGAGTAGCTGAGTCAGATTCACTTTTTTCAAAACAGGTAGCCAAATAAGGAAATTAATGAAGGGAATATGTAGCAAGGCTCCGGAATGACTTTTCCATCCACCTGCTGAGGTGAGTTTATCTTTCAGGTTATATCTGGCACCAAGTGTTCTGTCTGATGTGGGCGGAGGTTCAAATCATGTTTATGAAGAGATATCTACAACTGTATTTGAACAACAGTAAAAAAAAGAGAGAGAGAGAGAGAAAGATGTGTAAAGAAGCAGAGGTAGCAGCTGAAAGATACACAAGAATCAGATCTGAGGTGGATGAGGAAGTGGAAAAAAACATAGAAAAATTTAAGCAAACAATATCTTTAATTCCTTACCAGGTTTAATTTCACAGTCTATCTTTTTAGTAATACTTTGACAATAGGCTAAGCCTTTTGCCTTCCTGGCATTTTATCATCCCTTCTAGCAAAGCCCATAACCCTGGATAAAATCACATAGGCGCTTTATCTGGATACACCGCTGAGCAGACAAAGGGTGCTGAAGCAGTTTGTAGGTAAATTTGTGGTCACCCCCTCAGCTGCGCTCTCAGTGCACCATGGTGCATCAGTGCCCTCCCCTGTTTCTCTGATCAGTTAATTCCCTACTTCCATAACTTTCCCAACATCACCCTTTCTGCTCAGTATTCTGACTTGACCCATGACACCCTTCCCCTTGTGCACGGCCTCCCTTCTCCTCCGACAGGGATGACACTAGCCACCGAATGGGAGCCTCCCGTACTACTCATTGCCATCCCTGCACCCCGACTGGTGTCTGCAACAGCGACATCTTCCTTTCTGTTACTTAGATAAGCCACCCTTCCTCATGACTTTGGTCGTGCCCTTCATATACGCACTTAATTTTTTTTAAACTTCCATGGCCATTCATCCCTTATCTCTAATACATTCAACATCATTCTTACCTGGATTGTTCCTGTTGGCTTTTAAACATGCCCATGTATCTCCCATTTCAAAAATGAAAAAGCCAAACCCCCAGTAAAAACCCCTTGATGTATCATCCTCGTCCTGCTATTACCCCAATTGTAAATGAATTTAATGCACATGAAAATACTCTGTAAATAACAAAGCTCTGCAGATATCCAAAAGGCAAGATGTTTGATTATATTAATGTACAAAATAGTATGACCTCCAACAAGGGCAACTGGGTATTGGCTTTCTGAACAGAACAGGGATGAGTAAGGGAACTCTCTAGTGACTTGGGCACCCTGACAGATACCCGGATGATTTGAAATCATCAACAGAGAAATTGTATCATTCTGCTTTTGCCAGAGCTATTGCTCTACAACACCATCAAACCCAAAATAAATTTTAAAAATATACCAAAAAAGGCTTCTGTTCTTAGTAATATTTCATTGAAGAAAGAGTAATGTTAACAGGAAATTTTTAACTTTGAGGTTGTTAGAGTTATTTTCAGTCCTCTGGTCCTTCACCCATGTCAATGTGTGGTAGCAGTGTGTAGGAGGAAACAGTAGCAGGGAGATACACACGATTATCATTAGTAGCAAACCAAGGACAAATCTCAAACAGAGTCTTTAAAGACTAGCAACCATCAGGAATAGTAGAGGCCAACTTCTTAACCTCCTGCAGACTAGTTTCACTCCACGAGATTGCATGATGCTCTTTCTTCTTTAACACCTAGTGGCATGAGCTCAGTGGCCATCATTTCTAGGAGGAGCTGAGGAAGACCCTGGTTTCATACATGTTTGGAATTAACAGGACAGACTAAAATGAATAAATAAAACAGCAGTATTGTTATTACAATTCTATCCAGTTTCCCAAACCGCCACCCCATCCCCAGGTCCCATGAGAATCAAGGACAAAGAGCACCTGGGGAAGCCCACAGTAGGACTTAGCTGACACTTCAGTCTGTATTTCTCCAGCATGTATTCAGAGCACTCTACAGAGAAGAGATCCAACTCACCCTGTTGGTGTTGCTGATTGCTCAGCTGGCAAAGTGGGCGGTGGTACTAGTTTTGCAGACCTGCGAGCGAGAGAAGATAATCAGCATGGCTGAAATTCCTTTCCCAGACAGCTGAGATCAGGGATAAACACACTGAAATCCTGACTATTCAGGAGACCTCACACAGGCTTCAAAAAGTCCCTGACTCATCAAATGTGCTATTGCTCGTACTGAACTCGCTCCATGATTATTTCTCTGCTATTGTCAGCTGTTTATTTCCATAGAATGTGAATTAATTTTGGACTTTCTTTGAAATGCCAGAAGACTTTCCTTATTCAGGAACATTAGGAACTGATCCATCAGTGATGCTCATTAATTC